TACATGTTTGAGTGATAGGTGATAAATGGATGGATGGTTGGATGGATGGATGGATGGATGGATGGATGGATGGATGGATGGATGGATGGATGGATGGATGGATGGATTCAGGGATGCAGGGATGCATGGGTGGATGGATAGACAGATATGTATGTATATGTGTATAGTGGCTTGGGGTCAAAACCAAAAAATACTGACCTAGAAGCAAGTATACATCTGTTTCCCCATCTGCAAAATGGAGCTAGTGGAGCTCACGCCCTCCCTTCCCTTGACCAGGCCAGGAGGACTAAGGTCACTCTCTGATAATGCCATGGTGGTGCCAGCACCCTATCTGATCTACAGTTGATTCATTTGTAGGGACAAAATGGGGCAAAACAGACAGGTTTGGCTTTTTTTGGGAGATGGTTGAACACTGTTTTTGGAACTGGGCGAAGTCTCATCATCTTTGTGCACGTTTTCTTGGAATCCAGCCACAGCCTAGAGGAGAGCCCTCCCAAGGGCTCTCAGCCCTCATCTGTCCATACACGTGCACGAATGTGCACATACACTCACAGGAAATTCTGCAGGCTAGAGGGACCCCCAGGCTTCCCAGGAGGCCTTCTGGGAATGGTCGTGAGGGAGAGTCATAGAACGTGTTGCTTGGAGTCAGGCCTCTCTCACTGGAGAGAGAACTAGTTCGTTTTGAAAAATAGAGGAGATGACCTTGTTTAAAGCTTTCTCCACACTCTCCCCGAATCCCTGTTGGAAGAAAACACAAGGCCAGGCAGCTTTCATGAGCCATCCCAGCAGCCCCATGAGGCAGGAACTATTAGCCCCATTTCATAGATGAGGAAACTGACCCTCAGGGGGGTTGGGCACCTTTCCTGAGGTTGCACAGCAGTGAGCACTGTGCTCTAAACCCCCACTGACCCCAGGCTTGTGCGCATGCCAACAGCTCCCTTGGGACCGTGGGACAGCCTGTTAGTCATCCAGGCAACACTTCCAAACTGCTTTCTTCACCTGCAAAATGGAATCCTGCTCTATTATGAAAGAAGCAGCCTTTTGTGAGGAGGCAGCACTGGCTTTAGAGTCAGTGTCCTGGAATCTCATCCCATGTTGCAAAACACTGCCGTGGGGTCTCAAGCAAATTACTTTACCTTTGTTTCCTTGCCTAGAAAGTGGAGGTGATGGCGACTTCGTAGGTTAATGATGAGGGTTAACAAAGATAATGTTATCACATAACAGTCTAAAAGGATGTATATTAATGTGTTAGCAGAGGTTATCTCTAGGTGGTATTGTTACAAGTGGTTTCATTTTTCCCTTTTTTCTCACTTTTATTCAGTTGTGCACTGGTAAATGTTTCACAACCGGCTCATCAAAAAAAAAAAAAAGACCTGATTTGTAGTGTTTGCCCATTTCCATGGTATAAATACTCTCAGATGGCTGATTTCAAGCTACCACCATGATATCACTGAACAGGTTGGGAAGAGAGATGCACAACTGGCTCTCATAAGCTGGTACAAGCCCACCTCAACACACCGCTGTTTTTTATTTTTAGCTGTGCACTGAATGTCTTATTTGGGTGGTGAACAGAGAGAGAGAATTAATAGAACAGCCAGCATTATGCTGGATATCCTAGTTTTCAGCTCTCCCTCTCCTTCCTTCCCATCCCTGAGCAAAACAGCATGCTGACCGTGACTGCTTAGCCACGAGGAGGAGTGGCCTTCCAAGCAGCCAACAGCCTATCTTGCTCCCCATCTGCCAGGCTTTCAGAATCTGGGCAGCCTGCAGAGGAGAGTCTAAGGTCGGCCCACTGAGGAAGCAAGCAAGCAGGTCCTCTCGATTTCCACAGGAGACATGCTCTGAGCAGAGACATGCAAAGTTAAAACTGCCCTAGCGGAAATCAAGGAAAGTCCCAGAGGAGTGAAGGGCCTGCAGTGGAATACACCCCCAGGTGGCCAGTCTCTGACTAGCCTAACCTTTACCTTCAACTCGTGACTTAAGAGGTCTTTGTGCATGTGAGGGGGTGCGGGAGGTGGAGGCTCTACAGATTTCTGAAGGAATACAGAAGCCAGAGGACATCAAATGAAGTCCCGACAGGCCTCCAAGGTCATGAGGCGTGTACAACAAGGTACATCAGGTGTGTACCGGAAACCCCACAGTGTCTGTTTCAGCTTCCAGCTTTGGGCACAGAGTAGATAGATGCTCACGAAAATTGGTTAATGCTTGATTTTTTTTAAATTAATGAATATTTTTTATTCCTTTATAACTTGATCTAGTGCAGAGAGGATGTAAGGCAGCTCAGTAAGTGTGAATAAATAAGCGTCTTAGCCCTGGCTAACTCCTGTTTTCACATGTTCCTAGATACAAAATGTGACCAAATCTAAATGAGATGCAAAGGTTTAATAAAGGTTGCCAGTGATTTTTGTTGTTGTTTTTTTCTGGCTTTTCTGTATTTTTCAAATGTATCTTCAAAGAACATGGATCACTTCTAATTTTAAAAAGAATGTATAGTATAAAAATAACCTGTAAATAAAAAGTAAAATAGGAGTGGTATCAGCAGTTAAGGAGTTCACAGCTGTGAACCGAGGGCCCTGGACACGTTGGGTGGGCCCAGCATGGAACTCCTCACGCTGCAGGACTTGTCACAGCTGGGCTCTCTCTCAGCCTCTCTTTCCTCCCTGCCCACCCAGCACTGAGTAATAACGCTCCCCTCCAGTAATAAGTGTTAGTCAGAAGTGGAAACAGAGGCACGTCCTAGAGAGCGGAAATAACAGGTGGTGCCCAGGGCCACCGACACATTAGAAATTCAGTGGGCCCAGCCCTGTCCCACCCCACGCTGTGGGGGTGAGTGGTGTTCTCATGCCCCTGAAACCTGAGGGGGACCCTGCAGTGGGAGCCAGTATCACCCTTCTAGTCACACACCTCCTCCAGGGCCGTGGTGGTCTCCGCTCCTTGCACATGACAAATGTGTTGATTCCACTTCCCTCCAAGAAGCAGGGCTGCTCTGAGTAGAGAACACAGAGCCCTGTGTGCCTCCATTAAAGCATTTGTTTGGTTATAAGTGAGCCGTCCCCATATCACGCGTTGCTCAACGCTTCCCTGTGGCCTAGCACAGCAGCTGGGGGAACCATTGTGTGTTTGGTGGTAGTCGTTAAACATACAGGTTGAGTCTAGAAAATGAGGGCTTAGGGGGTTAGGGAGAAGAAGTTCAGGGGGTTGTGACAGAAAACATTTTCATGCATACGCTGCCTTAATTCCTCCGTCACCTCTGTCAGTGGGTATATGAGCACCCTGCTCTCAGAGCTGAAGTGACTGTAGAGTCAGTGGCTCAGAAGAGCCAACCCAGGTGTCCCCGGGCTCTGCCTCCGCCCGGTGGCACAAGGAGATGTGACCACCAGTTTCCTCAGAACTGATCTCTCTCTTTTTTTTTTGGACCACTTTTATTCACACACTGTACAACTCACCCATTTAAAGTTTACAACTCAGTGATTTGTAGTATATTCACAGCGCTGTGTAACCATCACCACTACAGTCTGAGAACATTTTTATCGCCCCAGAAAGAACCCCTGTACTTTTTAGCAGTCACTCCCCAATTCCCTCCAAGCTCCCCCCAGCCCAAGGCAAACACTAATCTAATTTTCTTCTCTGTAGCTTTGCCTATCCTGGACATTTCATATAAATGGAATCATACAATATGTAGCCTTTTGTGTCTTGCTCCTTTCATTTAGCATAATGTTTTCAAGGTTCATCCACTTTGTAGTAGATATTAGTACTTCATTCCTTTTCATGGCAGAATAGTTTCCATTGTCTAGTTATGCCAAATTTTGTTTATCCATTCACCGGTTGATGGATATCTTGGGTTATTTCCACTTTCGGCTATTATGAGTAATGCTGCTGTGAGCACGCATGTACAAGTTTTTGGGTGAACATAAGCATTCATATCTCTTAGGCCACATAACTGATCTTTTAACAGTGTATGTCTGAGCCTGTCATTTCTTTGTTGAAAAACCTTCAGTAGGTTCCCACTGTTCTTAAAATCAGATTCAAAATTGTTACCTTGGTCTACAAAGCGTACGTCTCCTGGTCTCTCCCCTTGTTCTTCTATTCCAGCCAGGTTGTCCCTCCAACACACAGAATCTCCTTCCCTGACAGACCTGGTACTTGCTTTCCTTGGCTCTTTGTTTATCTAACCCCCACGAATCCTGAGGCCTCAGCTGAAATAGCCCCTCCTCAGGGAAGTCTCTCAGCACCTCAGATGAGGCTAGGTCTGCATGCTTTCATGGCACCCTATACCTCTTCTTAGCACATACCACGATTACAGCCAAATGATGACTTGAGTGATCATTTAATGTCTCCCTCTTCAGTCATCATAAGATCCAGGAGAGCAGGGCCCGTGTTCTTGTTTACCAGTTACCCCCAGCACCTAGCATGGTGCCTGTCACACTTTGGCACCTGGTAAATAGTAGTCAAATGAATAATGGATAATGATGGCAGCAAACAAGTCACTTGGTTGGAGGCTTCCTTTCACCTTGGGGTCTTCCTCAGGTGATGGCAAAACAGGCAACTGCTGAGGCCAGGATGTCTCCTCTTTCTCCCCCCAGGCCCTGTCGCTCCTCACTCACCTGAGAGACCTCTGCTCAAGTCCAAATGGGTTTGGAGGAGGCCCTCCCACCCTAAAATAATGTGTGCCTCATTGGGTCCCAGCTAACAGTTGCGCTCTCAGGACAGGCTAGTTCCCCATAGCATACAACTCAGGGCAGCCCCCCTGACCACCAGCTAAACCCACAGTAGCAGCAACCCATTTCCAAGGATGAAGTGAGTGGGGATTCTCTGAGGCAGTGCTTCTGTGAGAGTTGGGGAACTGTGTTATGACAAACCACATTCCCGTTAGTGAAGGTTATTGCCTTTCTGCGTGTCTTGTTTGAAAAACGGTCCTTGAGGAAATTCCAACAGAAAACTATACACCTTTTGAGACTTAATTGCTTTTTCAAAAACACCTGTTTTCATTTCCCCCACAGATATGCACTTATTTGGCCATTATCCAGCACATGACGACTTCTATCTCGTAGTGTGCAGTGCCTGTAATCAGGTCGTCAAGCCACAGGTTTTCCAGTCGCACTGCGGTAAGTGAACTCCTGCACCCGGCGACACATTTGCAGCCGCCGCTCGGGGAGTATCACCTCCTCTTTGGCTGTCTTAGCCCAAGGCTGTGGGCACTTTCTTCCTGGAGCGCTACCTCTGCTCCCAGGCTAACTATTTTAGGAGCTGTAGTCCTTGTGCTGAAATGCTCGGTCCTGTCAGAACAAATGAGAAAAAACCTGCCACTTGTTTAGGTAGATGGGACTAGGCTGAAAGCATCCGCCCAGCCTTTCGGTGGCCTCCACAGGTGACAAAGGGGAGGGGAGAGCCGTGGCTTGAGGAATCACTCCTGCAGCCTGACATTTTGTTCTCCTGAAAGAGAGGGCCAGACTAAGACTCCCCAGATCTACACAAAGGAGGGGTGGGAGCCAAGGGCAGCCCCGTGTGGGGGTCTTTGGGGGGCTCCCCAAGGAAATGGCTTGCACATAAAGCCTCAGATTCAGCTTATCCTTTTCCAAGAATCCTCCTTGCTAAAAAAAAAAATCCAGGTTTGTTTGGGAACTCGCTTTCGCTCTGTATTTTTATATCCTTGGTGTAAAAAATTCCCTTCAGCTGGTCAACAGCCAACCCTGGCCTCCCCTTCAGTGCAGGTGCCATGAACATAGACTAGATCAAGTCCACACTGGCTGCTCCCCTCAGGAACAAATGATAGCTGTTCACCTGAGATAGGAAGTTACTTAACCTCTCTGGGTGGAAGTTTTCTTATCTTTAAAGAGGGCGTTGGACCAGATGATTTCCAAAGCTGTAATATGCTGTGAGTTCCAGAACAGCATTTCCCAATCTTTAATTATTTAAGCCGTACTCCGTTTTGATGAACACGAAATCTAAATTATTTACTATTAAGTTTCAAAGCACACTAAAATATTGTTCCATAAAAAAATTAAAGCAATTAGAATATTGAATATGCTTGCAAACTACGTTTCCCCTTTCTCACACAGAATTTGCAATTTCCCCTGCCCCTTCAGTTATGACTATTCTGTGATAATAGGTATAAAATAAAGCGAGTTGAGCTTACCTAAGCTCTTCAGTAAATGTATTGGGACTAGAGAATACTATAGTTGGCCCTTGAACAACATGGGTTTGAACTGCGTGGGTCCACTTTTCAATATATACAGTCAGCCCTTTGTATCCATGGGTTTCGAATCTGTGGATTCAACCAACCGCTGATCAAAAACAGCACATATTTTCAATCCACAGGTGCGGAGGGCCAACTATATGCATTGTGGTACGCCATGTCATGTAGGGACTTGAGGATCTGTGGAGTTGGGGACCCGCGGGGGGTCCTGGAGCTAACCCCCGTGCATACCAAGGGATGGCTGTAGTTTTTATATATCTTAATATCATTAATGAATATGTGGCTATGTGATTATACATATCTACATACATATATAATTCGTATCTGTGTAAATACTGTAGGTATATTTTGTGTTTACAATATGTAGAAGTAATATCCGGGCTTTAGGGGCACTTTCTGACCGACACAGGCAGAGAGGCCCCTAAGAGTGCGCCTGCTCTCTGACCTTGGGCCACTTGCTTAGTGTCTCAAGGCTTTGGTTTTCTCGTGTCTTCCATGAGGAATGACTTCTGTGGGTGCTTCTAGCTCTAGCATTTTCACATCTGGCAGAGTGAGCATGAGAGAGGAACAAGTTATGTGCTTGGCAAGAGCTGGCCTCGCTCAGTGCTATGTAACAAATGACCCCCCTTTCTGTGGGAAAAGAGAAAAGATCACACCTCTCCCAAAGGAAAACTGTGAGGCCGGGTGCTGAGGTGACAGGTGGGGGGATCTAGAGCAGAGCAGGGATAAGAAGGTTTCACACAGCTGGTTGGTCGGTGAATGACCGCAGAAGCTCTGTAGTCAGTTGCATCTGTTTGTCTCATGAAGACACAGAGGCTAGATCACCCTGAATGTGACTGTCACACATTCATTCACGTGTCACATTCTGGGCACTAGGATACAGCAGCAAATGAGGCAGACGAAAACCTTCACTGGGAACTTAATTCACTGACCGAATCTTCAGTGGAAGGAACCTGCAAGGGACCCGGGACCCCACTGTGCCCTGCAGAGTTCTGCCCACGGCACGACCCCATCTTGCCAGCGAAGGAGGCCGCTAGGGTTTGATTTGGCTGATACACGTGCCTCCCTCCATCCTAGGCCTTCTGGGGCAGAAGCCAAATCGAGCTTAGGGGAGAGCCAAGGGTTTTGTGGCATCTGCTCTGAGCGTGACAGTAAATTAGTTTGGGGGTTTGAGTTACTGATCTCATCGCCCAAAGCCCAGTCTCCACTGAGCTTCTTGCTGAACCAGCTGATAGCAGCAGTGAGGACACTTACCGTTCAGGTGTGTGTCCCGTTGATTCACGGCAGGTATTTATCAAGGCCTGGAGAATGCGAGGCAGAACTAAGAACCATAGCAACTCCTCAGGGGCAATGAGGATTTCTTGGTTTCCCGAAGATTTCTTCCTATCATTTCATGATATTTCTTTTTTTGGCTGTTTCACCTCCCATGACTAGCCTTGCTATTTTCAACAAGATTAATAAGAATGTCGTTGTGCTAAGTGCCAGGCATGGTGCTAAGTGCTTTTCGTATCTTTCAGCACACAATCCTCTCAACAGCCCTACAAAGTGGGCTCAGTATGACCCCCATTCTGAGCTAGAGGAAGAGAAGGCTAAGGAATGCCTTGCTCAAGGTCTCGAGGCTCCGCGGGTGCAGAGCCTGATTTGGAACACAAGCAGCCTCTCTCCAACATGAGGAAAGCGTATGCTTCGCCTTCTTGCTAGTCGTGGTCCCTCACTGCCTCTCTGTATGGACAACATGCCCTCCCTCCTGCCCTGCCCAAACTCCAGGGTGCAACCCATTCACCTGCCAGGTAGCGCATAGTATGTAGTACAGGGCTTCAAACTCAACTTTGTTAGCAGCAGAGCTTTTTTTTCAATGGAATCTCATGTAGAACCCCAGTCTGTAAATACATGCAAAGCAGAGCCAGCAGGGCTGAACTTGGGGTGGGTGCTTGAGCCCCACCTACCTGGCCTACTCCTGACCTCCCAACCTGCCTGGGCTCCATAGAACAGTATTTGAAGTTTGGTGTAGTAGAGAAAACAGGGGCCTTGGAGGTAGACAGAGCCATTCACATGACTTGCCATTAACTACGTGGGCAGGTCACCTCCTGTCTCTCCATCTTATCTGTAAAATGGGAACCTACCTGCCTCGTGGGGTTGTCGGTGCAGAATTACTGGCGGGAGGGACCTTTCTGCAAATGTACCAGAGCATGGCCTCATTCCCGCCCCACTTGTCCCCATGGTGTCTTTCCCCTTCGCCCAGCTGGATTTGATTCATCCCTCTTAATACTCTTACTATCCAGAGGACTCTGTTCTCCTGTGCCACTTCCCACCTTCTGCCTTGCACTTCTGTTCTCTGTGGACTGTCTCAGCACATCTTCCAGCTTCTAGGATCCTTACAGGACCAGGGATGGTCCTTTTCAATCCATATTCCCAGCACCCAGAATTGAGTTCCTCATCACCAGCCATGGCCCTGGGGGGACACTGCCCAGGGGCCAGCACATCTGGGGCCAAATCCCAGCTCAGCCTCTGCTCAGCCCTGAGACCCTGGAGTTGTCACCTTGTTAGATGACAGGGGACTGGACGTGTGTTCTCTTAGAAGCTTGCTCATTCTCAGCACCTGCCATTCGGCTCCCAGATTTTAAGGATTATATACATACTGAGAGATGGGTGCATGGCAGCACTGGAGACCTTGGTGTCCCGCTTGTTTAAGTTTAAAAAGTGTGTGTGTGTGTGTGTGTGTGTGTGTGTGTTTAGGCAGTTGTTTCTGGGGACTTTTGAGGTTGGTGAAAAAGCCATTGTAGAAAAATCATGAATTTTGGAGTCAAACAGACCCAGCTTAGACTCTTGACTAACGTTTACTAGCTGTGTGACCTTGGGCTAATTGACCTTTCTGAGCCTCATTTTCCTTTGAAAGGAAGGTGATCATTCTTACTTTGCAGAGTTACTAGGAGAAACAGAGATAAAGTAGTTTCCTGGCACACGGTGAGGAAATAAAGAGTAGCTATTATTGTCAATAAAGTGTGGCTATTTTTTATTAAGTTGAATGTTTCTTATGAAAAATGGGAAAACCAATTCAATCAAGCGCTTCCTGTCGTCCTCTCCTGCCCCGTCTCGGGACGTGCACGCTGAGGTCAGCCTATGGACTGTGGCCTCTGATTCATCTTCTGCTTCCCACACTCTCGGAGGCAAGAATCGTCAGCTTGAAAGTGATCACATTGCCAGGAGTCTTGAGGACCTGGCTTTCTAAACACGGGCTACATTCACATTAGGCCCCAACGTCAGCTCCTTTGGAAACTGCCTTGAAGCTCCCAGGATCTCTCGGGGCCCCTGCCAAAGTCCATCTGGCCTTGGCCCCCTTGCGTACAGGGGTCACGTGAAGCCCCTCCCAGGACTGGCCACGTTCCTTACTCTCTGACTTGTGCCCCAAGCTGGTGCCCCCGTTGTAAAGAGTTCGGGAGAACTTCTGCTTGGCATAGGGTAGAGGCCCTCTGGGAGCCGCCTTCTGTGCCCCCCTCCCCACCTGTGTTGGCCCCCTTGGGTCTGTTTTCTAAGTCTGTGCAAGGGCCCTTTAGGTGCTTTGTAAAAACCTCTTCCCTGCAGATCTAGGATTTTAAGGGATTGGTTTGTTTCTAAACTCCCTTAGGTGAGTTGATGATTTAAGGATGGCTGGAGAAAGGGGGAAATAAACAAAAAGTTCCACCTTGAGTGTCCTGATCCCACTTAGTAGGCACCCTGTCCCTCTCAGCTGTCCATCCCAAGTTGTAGCCTGATGCACTGATGTGAGAGCCTCATGGTTGGGAATAGCCTCTCTTCCAGCTCTACACCTTGTTAGCTGTGTGACCTTGGGCAGGTTGCTTTGCCTCTCTGTGCTTCAGTTTCCTTATTCTTAAAAATTGGCATAGTAGTTTATCTCCTAAGGTGGCTGTG